AACAGAAACAGAGGGTAAAACGTCGAAAAATATCACACGAGGTCAATCGGGGGTGGCTTCTACCTGTCACCAAATGGTAATGCAGGTGTTCTATGCAGTCAATAATCTTATAACGCAATAGATTATTAAAAAATAAACTTTTTAGAAAGATTTTTATACAACTCACAATGGCAAACAATTGTTGGCTCGCCTGGTGGAATATGGTACCCGTTGTATAGACATAAACAGTATCAAGGACGTTACAGAAAATAATACAGCATAGTACCAGGGAGAAAGGGATTGTTAGGGATTTTGAGAGAAACTTTTTTTTTTCCAACAAGTAATTATTTAGTAAGTTATAAGTAGACTTGTTGAAAAAAAAGGGTTCTTTTAATCCTGGCCTGAATGTCAACCTAATCCAGTAACGTTAAGGGGGGTTATCAGTAATGCGGACTACCAGTTCTATTGCTAGCAATATACCCTGTCAGATCGACCTCCACGCGGTTACCCCTGGAAACCGTCGTACTGAATTCCAGGTGTATTTTTCACGATGGGCTAACTGACCTGCTGTTTCATTTTTACTTATCATCTTTCACTGGTGATCTGCCGGTGTATACCAATAGCACAAGCGGGGTTACCATTTCATTATCATCCATTAAAAAAAAATCTAGTCACGCGGTAATACTAGTACAAATTCAAAAGTTTGTGAGGATATATGTTTGTCACTTTTTCACACAAAAACCACTGAACCGATTGAAATTTAATACACGGATTTATTATTATTGAGAAATATTCATGAAGAAAAACCTATAACACTGCAACCTCTCTTTCTAAAGTTCGCTTTCAAGTCAAGGATTAGAATTTTTACATGTTCTTTGCAACATTATACGAATAGGTTATAACTTAACCCAAATTACACTTTGTGTACTGATTAATGCGTGTAAAACTGCAGGACATAGCTAGTTGTTAATATATAATTAATACAGTAAGAACTTAACTAACTAACTAATAAGATTGTTTTAGATTTTATAATTATTTCATCACAAAACTACCTTAAGCGATATACTAAGTTTAATTAGCTTGCCATCGGCAGGCTACTTAAAGTGCTTAACTGATTTAATTTTCAAGTCAAATAACTTAGCTTGCTTACTGTACGCTGCTTATTATTACTCGCAAATTTATTATCACAATCATTTTCGTGTCAAAATTCAAAATTAAAATTATCTTTATAAAAACAGACTTGAGGTGGCAAACAAGCATACGACTCGCCTGATGGTAAGCGGGTACGGTATGGTACGGTAACTCTACCGTAACATGTACAATACCAAAGGTATTACGCGAGTGTTGCCGACCTTGAAGAAACCTCTTTACCTCTCTTTTGAAGAACCCTATTCTGTAGTCTCCTAGGGAAATCTCGGCAGGGAGCTCATTCCATAACCTGAGTGTTCGTGGGAGAAAACATCTCTAAAACCACATTGTACGCGACCATTTAAGCTGTATGGTATGAGGGTTTACCCTTTTGAGCGTTAAAAAATAAGGATAAAAAACCTTTCCTTCTGTCTTAACATCACCTTTATCCACTAAAATATCAAGGAGTGCATTTAATATTTTTTCCCTACAATGTTAAATAAAATAGAAAATAAAATTATTATACAAAATAATTCTTTTAAGCCAAAAGTTTCAATCGTATCGGGGCACGTACAAAGGGCCGGGGAAATGGTCAGGTCGTATCGGTGTGATTACGCTGAACCAGCTCGTTATACGGGAGAGATTTCCAGCTATTACAGATAGAAATTCGTGTTTATCAAACTCGTGGAGCGGATGACTAGCACTTTATTAAAGTGAATATACTCGTGTATGGAGGCTCTTATATAATTTTGGCAGTTCGTTCTGACTTTAAACACTTCGATATTCAAATTAGGAATTCTTTCGAAATATTTTTTTTTCCAGCTACTAAGAAAATCGGACAAGAATGTGAAAGACAGAAAATTAAAAATCTACATTCAAAGAAATAAATATGAATGTTGAAAGTAGGCTCGCTTTGTAACAATGAATTCTCATATGCTCTTCAAAATAGGAAAATAATTTATAATATTAATAAGGATCTCTCGAGTTAAACTGACAAAAAATATCTCAAGAAATCCATTTCCAAAAAATATATATAGTTGTTTCGTTTTATGAATTTATTATATACTAACTCTATCTTATGTCTTCATCCGCGTGAAGTACATAAATTTAATATATTTGCTAAGTTAGGATATAACCTATCCGTATAACTAATTTCACTTAAATCAATTAAATAGTTTTTGCGTGAAAGAATAACAAACATTCTTCCATCTACACCTTCATCCATTGTTACAAATTTTCTAATTTATAATATTAATAGATAGATAGATAGATAGATACTCTTTATTGTTTCCTCCAAAAGATTACAATAGTAAAATTAATATAAATATAAATAATTACAAGAAATAATCACAATGAGAAAACAATGGGCGACCTTATCGCTAAGAGCGATCTCTTCCAGGCAACCTTTGGATGGAGAGGAGTAATTATAAACAATAATAGAATCATTAGTATATCTAAATATACAGATATTACAATAATCTGTAAATAATTAATAGTCCTAATAACTGCATATATGTATATTGTAGAGAAATATTTATCATCGCGTGTCAATGCCTAACTAAACGATTTTAGTAGCCATTTCCTATCTTTATATCACATATTTTTCAATTAACGTAAATATATTTGGATTAATCAATAATATAAATGAGATATAGTAAATTTATGTAAAATATTGATAAATATCGAATTCGTACATATAAAGTTCTGTTTTCAATCGACTTCATAAATAAGGAGGTTTTCAATTAGGTTAAATTTTTTTTTGTTACCTTAAAAGGCAGTCAGTTTGGAAAATTCTTTTTTTACCTGAAAGGATACCAATTTGGAAAATTATCTTTTTGTCTAAAAAGATATACTTAGAGATTGATTGCACAGAAATTTTATGTCAATCTGTTTAGTAGTTCAGTTTTATCAAATAGTTAAAATAGTTATTTTGATCTAAAAACTGAACTCGCTGAAAATATTATATCGCTTTTTTCTATAACCCTTACTAATATTATAAATGTTTATTATATGCCACTTAGAATGACAAACAAGCTAACGGCCCACCTGATGGAAAGTGGTAACCGTCGCCTATAGATATGAGCAGTACCATGGACATAACAGAGCATACTGTTTCGACTATGATACTCCCCATGCGTTGTCATTCTTGAGGACTCAGGTGTTATTCCTCTACATCTTGTAAATGCACTCCATATCCTACCCTTCAAACTGAAACACAGCTATACAAACACAATTGTTTTACGGTAGAAACCCGAATGGAACAGATCCAAGCAAACGACTTTTGTACAAAGTCTCACTCTGGTAAATGTAAAAATTAATTTGTTCATTGCTTCTTTTTTGTATGTCTTAAATGTAATATATCGCTATAATCATATAATTATACTTCTATTATTAGCAATAACATAATGTCTCAACCGATCTATTTTTCGGCTGTCTTTGAATTTTTTATGTCTCCTAACCATAATTTACACCGTTGATCGCCAATAAATCAACGGTATCCCTTTCCTGCCCTCATCTTTTACACACATTACCGGCTCTGTATTCGGTATTGTGTAAAATATTTAGGCAAAGTATAAAATAAATAATATTACAGTAAGTATTTTATACATTGCCTTTATATACTGTTATTTTGTATAATCGGGTATTCTAATCCGAAATTAAACAGATTTTGTATAAATTAACTTACAAATAAACACAAATATACTTTTGTTACAATAAAGAATATTTTTTTTAATATATATACGTTGTATTTGTAATAAAATTTATAACATTAATAAGAATTATAAAAATATTTTGATTGATCAGTCAGAATCTTGCTTGAGTCTTGTCCACTGATACAAGTATTTAAGTTACTTTCGATAAAAATACACACAAGTCAATTATACAATAAAATTATAATAACCATTCTAAAATACATTCATGCCCAGCCCTGGTAATCATCCTAGAATGATCTGTGCCTAAACAAGAATACGAGCGGTCCTTTTAGCTATACACAAGGATATGTATGATCCCTTTTTCAGGGGTCAGAACATCCCTTCCCGGGGGGATTGTTAGTAAAGCAGACTAACAGCCTCATTGTTGGCAATATACCCTGTCAGGTCAACTTCCCCGCAGTTCCTCCATGTGGAAACCATGGTTTCAGGTGTATTTATTCATTACGATGAGCTAATTATAATAGCCTTTGCATTCTCTTCATCATCCTTCATTGGTGCTTCGCCAGCGTATATCATTAGCGCAAAAACATTAAATAAAATTCAAAAAAAAATCCATCCCTCCTTTTAAAAATAATCCTAAATACACCAATGTTTATAAAAAAGTCGTTTGCTTGGGTACCTCTGTCCCATTCGTGTTTCAACCGTGAAGCAGTTGTGTTTGCATGGCTGTGTTTCGGTTTGAAGGGTGGGATATTGCGTGAATTTACAGGGTAAAGAGGAATAACATCTGAGTCCTCAAGAATGGCAACGCATGGGAGGTACCATGGGTTAAACAGTATACTCTGTTAAGTCCATGGTACTGCTTATGTCTATAGACGACAGTTACCATTTTCCATCAGGTGGGCCGTCAGCTTGTTTGTCATTCTAAGTTGTATAAAAAAATTCACTGTTCATTTAAGTTTAAATAAATAAATATGTCCTAAAAATATACATACAAATAAAAATATACAACGATAGAGATCAAACGTGATAATGATGATGATGACGACGATGATTAACTGCTTGCGCTGCTTCTTCATAAGTGATCCGCAGATATTTTTAAAAGCAAATTTGTTGGACACTTTTTTTATGTCAATGGGTAGCGCATTCCAAAATCGTAAGGCCTCAGAAGTGAAGGTAATAGAAAAAAACAGTTGTTCTAAGTTGTATAAAAAATATTATCATTATCAGGTAACTTACCTTTGACTGCCAAAGTGGGTAAAAGCACGAGAGCCTGAAGCAACGACCAGATGCATGTCCTTTCGTTCCTCATACCGCCCTCATGAACAATTCACCTTATATCACCCAAAACAGTACATTTCATTCGAACAGAGTCGTTTCGTACATTCATTACGTTCACTGCCAGTTTATTTGTTTTTTTTTCTCTCTCTCTTTTTTATTTTATTCCCCCATTTTGTTTTATATTACTACGTGTGATGTGTCATATAAATTATTTAATGCATGATTTATTTATAATATGTTTACAATATTTTATGTTGACTGTTGATTAGTATTAAATGGACTTTATTTTGATTTCTTTTAATTTTCTAAATAAAAATGTATCGTCGTCATCTTATCAGCCTTTAACTGTCCACTGCTGAACACAGACCTCCTTTATAAACCTCTTAGATTATGCTAATAGGTGCCACATATGATAGGCGGGTCGACAACCGCAGTTAGCCTCTGGTAATGTTTTAAGAGGGACGCTGCTGTCAATTCCTTTATCATTAAGATCTCATAAGGATATAGGTAACTTTATATTTCGGTAAACAAATATATCCTAGTCACGCGAACAAAGACATGTAAATATTTAAACTGTAATTTGAGAAAGAGAGGAAGAGAGAGAAAATAGATTAATTTGCACCACAAGTTTGAATAATAATATTAATAATAAATAGGTATATTAGATTCGAATTTAATTTAGTACACAAATGCAATAATACACTAATCAAGAATTCTCAACAAAATACACCTTAAATACACCGGTTATCATTTTTCGCAATAAAATTATATAACGTGTACTTCTGAAACTTTTAACAATTTTAGATTAAAGAGCACGAATAATTTTACGCAGTATTTTTATGGGAAACAATTCGTTCACAGTTATTTGTCAATTAAAATGAAGCTATTTCCTTGTTGTTTACTGAGGACCTGTATTAATTGGAGTGTTTGACTCAAACAACAATGTTAACATTTTATTACTGTATATTTTATTTTGTAAAAAAAGAGTCTTGATATATTTTAAACAGTATTGATTGCTATTTTTTGTATAATCAATTATATTACTTATTGTATATAGTGTATAAAAAATTATATGTAGATTAAATCAAGATTATATTATATACTAAATTTATATAACTGTCTCGCCAGCAAAGATATGACAGTATTCCTATATTATACATAGATAGCCGGATAATTCAAAATGTATTTAAAACTAGTTTTTACCCGCGACTTCGTCCGCATGAACGTAGGTCAATATTTTAATAGATTTTGAAACATCAGATCAGAACATTAGCGTGCCACAATTATTTTTTATAATTTTACTTAGAGGGAAAATAATTTTTATTTTATTCATACTACTCATACAGAGATGTTATCAAAACGATATAAATGCTAAATCTCTATTTTTCATATTTTCGGAATAAAATACCATGAGTCCATGTTAATAACCGATAATATAGCTATCTATAGATGAAGGTATTACTAAAATTAGTGAAGCATGTTTTTAGTATATGCATGATTATCAAAATTTTTTTTTCTTCTATCTAATTATTTATTAATGGTTTAGATTTTGACATGTATCTGTTATATTTATACTTTGTCATTTTCTATTTTATTTCAAATCACTATATATTTTATTACTTTACGCCTATATTAAGTTTTAATTTAATAATACACTAAAGAGGATTTTATGAATTATAAGAAAAAGATACAGAAAAAAAATACATAAGTCTTTTTTAATATTTACAGTTTTGTAAAATATAAGAGGCAACTTTTTTTATTTATATCCTAAAGTTACAGCAGCGAATTGTAAAATTTAATACTGGACAGGCATACAAACGTTTTAGAAAAAAATAACTCAAATTATTTTGTCGTCGTGTTAAATTGAAATCCATGGCACAACGAGGGAATAATTATTCACAAAACGAAAAAACATTCGAAAACAAAGTCCATTCAATACAATTACAGACCTATCACAGTTCAAAACAAAGAAAACTTCATGAAAGGTTTCTCTTGATATTTGAATATGTTACAAGCACTGAACAATCTGTATACAGCGACTTGTGTTTATTTAAAATCGCAAGTAATCTCAATATTTATAGTCCCGATATTTCGCGATAGATTATAACGAATACGCTTGTGGCACTCGACCGCTCCGCGCCGCGTTTCGTAGCACACTGACTGAATCCTGAAGTCCTGTAGTAGCTACGAACACGCCGAAGGCTGCGCGTTATGGGCTTGTGACGTTTGCCACTTTTTGCATGCGATATTTTATTAAAAGTGTTTATCAACTTTTGTTCTATCTTTAAATATGAAAACGCATACTTTGTTTTTTAATGTCTTTTTTATTACTGGCCATTTATAGATTTCTTATTTGTTTTTTTTTACAGATTGTTTGGGGAAATAGCATTAAGTCTTTTTTATTTGTATTATATATATTTTTGTTTAATAAATTCTAATAATATGAAAAATACGAAAGTTTGTAATGATGGATAAGTGGATGTATGACTATTACTCTTTCACGGAAAAACTGTTATTTTTTTGTATGTATATGACTGAAGTGGCGAACAGATATATGGCTCGCCTGATGGTAATCAGTTACCATAGCTTATAAATTCTTGTAATATCAGGGGTACTACGCGCGTATTGTCGTTCCTGAAATAATCTCTTTACCTCTACTTAAAGAACCCGATGTTGTAGTCTCTTGGAAAAATCTCGACAGGGAGCTCATTCCTTAAACTGAGAGTTCGTAGAAGGAAACATCTTTAAAATCGCGCTGATAATTAAACTTTGTACAGAGGTAGGTTATAACCTAACTTAATGTATAGAATACTATATATACTGATTCACGCGTTTAAAGTCCCAGGATATAGTTAGTAAAATATAAATAGATGCCGTGTATACTATTATCAAGAGATAGCTTTTACCAGTTATATTTTTCCTATGTTTTTATTTGAAATAAGATAAAAACCTGCATGATTTTTTTTTTATTAAAATCTCTTTTCCTTATCTATTTTATTAATAAATCACTATTCTATTCTTATATACTCCTTTTCGTAAATTATATTTTATTTTATTTGTTTTGTGAATTAATTATGGCAATTATTATTAAAAAAAATAATATTATCATATCATATACCATATCATCGTCATGTTACCTGTCCACTGCTGGATATAGGCCTCCCCATAGACTGCCATAAAGAACGGTCCTGAGCCACCTGCATCCACTGACTCCCTGCAATACATTTGAGATCGTCACTCCATCTAGTATCTAGTAGTGTCACACTGCGTTTGTCCGTACAGGATCGCCAATCAAGAACTATTCTTCCCCATCGGTTGTCAGTTCTTCGAGCTATGTGACCATTCCATTGCTACTTTAGAATATTATATAATAATATTATATAGTTAATTAAGACGTGAATGTTTAATTTCACCTTGAAACAACACTAAATAATTTTTTAAAATCTTTATCCACATTTCAGGAAGACCTGCATGTATATATATATATATATATATATATATATATATATATATATATATATATATATATATATATATATATATATATCCACCAATTTTAAGGTAATTAAGTGTGTATCAGTTAATGGGATACGTTTATTAAACTATTAATTATAATTTAATATTTAATTTACGAAACGATTGTAATTAAAAATTGCAATAATTTTCTTCAAATTTCTGATGTCTACCATTTTGAATCTCATGACTATAATACATCTCATGACATAAATATAACCAGCGTCTAGGCCCGGATTCGCACAGTTTTTTTTTTTTTTAATAAAGTGTAACCTTTATTGCTCAGCTCATCTCCTTTATTTAATAATGCAGCTTTCTATAGGTGAAAAGATTTTTAAAATCGGTTGAGTAGTTTTTGAAATTATTCATTAATCTTTTTGTATTGGATTAATAAAAAACACATACAAATAATATTAGTTTAGTTAAATGTGAAACTCACATTCACTTTGTTTGTTTGTTATCGCCTAACGCCTTAACTAATCACTGTAAAATTTGACATATATAGAGAAGGATATAGGTAACTCTTTATCCCAGTCAATGAACGAAGTCGCGAGTAAAAAGTAGTTACACATATTTTTCTCATATTGTTGTTAGTATTTCATATACCAAAAACCGAATTATTCTCCAGAGGGAGACTTTGTACAAAAGTTGATTGCTTGGTTACCTCTGTCCCATTCGTGTTTCAGCTGTGTTTCGGTTTGAAGAGTGGGATATGATGTGAATTTACTGGGTACGGAGGAATAACACCTGAGTCCTCAGGAATGGCAACGCATGGGGGGTATCATGGGCGGAACAGTATACTCTGTTATATATATATATATATATATACAAAACACTATTTACTTCATCATCATCATCACATCAGCCATTAACTGTCCACTGCTGAACCTAGGCCTCCCCAATTATGTGCGTTCCGGAATAGAATAGGCCACCTCTTTCTTTCTCGTGAATGACGTAAGAGACTAAGGGAGCTACGGTCGCTTGAAAAACCCAAATTGTGGTTGCCAATCAACTTGCCGAACATGACAAGTACGGATTAAACCGTCCTTAGAGGGGAAGACTATATTTTAGCAGTGGACAGTTAACGGCTGATCCAATACAAAAAAATTGCATCTTACGACACCCACGGGAAAGAAATGGGTGGCCCACTCTATGCCGGAACCACACGGCTCTCTTTCTAACTGTCTAGTTACAGTTTAATTATAATACAGATACGTATATAGATAAACAATGTTATACAGAGAAAACAACTAACAACACGAAACTTGAAGTTCCCAATCGATACACTTTAAAGCCCACATATGCCATTAAACTGGTTTGCTATACCTGTTAAGGCAATTTCGTGTGTATTAAGTTGGTAACACTGAAAACTTTGGTCATTAGGACAAGGCCAGTAAGTGCGGGAGCCCGTTATGTATGCCAGATACTGCCAGGTGGGACCACCCGTTTGGGCACAAGTCACAAGAGGATGGCTGTTAAATTATATACATATTTACTTATTTTTATCTATAAATTTCTTTATTATGTTATAGAAACATATATAAAAAAATGTCAGGCATAAAATAAGTACATAAAAGGTGTAACTAATGTACCTAAGCGGACTTATCTTACTTATATAGTAAAATTGTAACCAGACAATGTCTTTATATGGAAAATGTCAAAGAAAAGTTAATATGGGGGAAGGGTGGTACAATCTCTCAAAGGTAAGACCGACAGATGCCAATAGAGTAATTTATTTTAATATTATCTATCATTCTACTTGTTTCGGTATCACACAAAAATTGCTGCACCAATTAAGATGCGGTTTGTACAGTGATGTTTCTGAAGGTTTAATTTAAAATCTGGTTTGTGTTGCATTTTACATGTCATCGAAACGTAATCTTTATTAGTTTTCCTACTTCTAAAATCCACATATACAAAATAGCATGCAAAAGGCCAGTTCCAAATAAAAATATTTTCCAGTCAACCGCGCGAGCATTTCCAATAATATTTAGCTAAAGGGTCTATATGTGTACAAAAATGTTAACAAGGTCATTTAATTTGCTGATATTTAATTTTATTCTAATTATTTAACTGCTTGTGTTCTGTTGTATATCAAATATAGATCTATCGTGATTGCAGCAAATTGAAACCTAATATCATTTCCAAGGGAAATATTAATTTTTTTACAAATGTATTAGTAGTTACTAATATGAAAGTGACGATGTTACGGATGAAAACTAGTAATATAATATAATAACTTCTATAAAAATGTAATAATAATTAAAGGTTTTTTTTTTCAATAACCAATATTTATACAAAAGTATAAAGGAAATAATAAATAATTTTCATTATTAAAATCGCTCACTCTTATGTCTTGTACTCATTACTAAATATCTAGCCTCGCTAACTGCCGAACTTCGGGCTATTATGTCAAAACAAGTTTCATTGAAGCCTTTCGCTACACGTTTACTTTTGCACTCTTTATTGCAATAGTTTTATGAATTGGATATTAATCTAAATACATTTTATCGCCTAACGTAAATATTTTTACAACAGCTGGATAATAGTAGTAGCTTTTTTTTTTTACTTTAATTATTCTATTCGTGCCATACACGTAGACGTGATAAATAAATAAAAATCCAGTCAAGTGCGAGTCGGACTCGCGCAACAAGGGTTGCGTACAAAATCATTAAGTTTAAATTTTTATGAAATAACTACAAATTTACGGTTTTCAATTTTTTTATTACTTGTGCTACATGCCAAATTTAATGATTCTAGGTCAACGGTGAATACCTTATAGGTTTTGATTCCCTTTGCGAATGTCAAAATATGCGATATAAATGAAACATAAATGGCAGTAAGATCGCAGATCGCATCGATTTAGAAGCATGATCTTTTCACTGCTTTAAGACATTGCAGACCTGAGTATTAATATCATAACATTAATTTTAACTTGATACCGCCACGCGTTCCTAAAAAAAAAAGGTCTGGACAAACGGATAGACGAATAGTGAAGTGATCCTATAGGGGTTTAGTTTTTTCCTTTGTGGATACGGAATCCTAAAAATCATTTATTTAAAAATCATCATAGGTTTATATTAATCAATTATTAACGTACTTTTTTTTAAATGGATGATAATGGAATCGTAACCCCACCCGCGCCTTCACTGGTGCCCCATCGGTATACACCGGCAGGGCACCAGTGAAAGATGATAGGTGAGTATGAAGCAGGTCAGTTAGCCCATCGTGACGAATTCAATAAGAATTGTTCACGATGGTTTCCGGGGGAAACCACGTGGAGGTCGACCTAATAGGGCATATTGCTAACAATGGGGCTGTCAAACTCCATTGCTAACAATCCCTTTCCCCCCGATCTTAAAATATTGCGATCAGAAAGATGAAATATACACATTGCCACTCCACGATATTGTTATAACATGAAATAACAACAGACACAAGTAAATTTACTTAACGCACCGATGTAAACATAAATAATAATAATAAGAAAATATTAATAACAATTCATTTTTACGTAAATATAGCAATGAGGAAGCTACAAATCATTTATATCCTCCGGAATATCCACAGCATTTTTTATTTCATCAATTTTCTTGCAACGAATTGATAGGTACCTTCCCTCATGAAGGGCGGTGTATTTCAGAGGGGAATGCTCGCATTTAATACACCCTCTTTGATGAGATGACTGCTATCGGTTTATCGATGAGATATTTGATGCCCACGTCTTTTAATACTACAGAAAAAAAAAATTATACCATAGTGGAACTCACAAGAGTCATTAATGAATGAAATGTGTTAAGGTTATATTAAAAGAGTTAGTTTCATACATTTTTTATTTATTTTTTACGACACAGGGAGCAAACGAGCATGCGGCTCACTTGATAGTAAGTGACTACCGCCGCCCATGATCACCCACAACACCAACGGCATTGTAGGTGTGCTGTTTGCCTTTTAAAAAGGAATATACTCTTTTCTTGAAGGTTATGATGTCGTATCGGTTCGGAAATACTGCTGCTTGGAGTTGATTCCAAAGAGTGGTTGTACGTGGAAAAAAGTACCTTGAAAAACGCACGGTTGAAGACCGCCACTCGTTCAGATGATTGGGATGAAACTTTAGTTTATGGCGGGTTGTACGGTGGTGAAAATCAGCAGCAGGTATCAATCCGAAAAATTATTATTGAATTAAAATAGATATTACAAATATATGACAAAATAAGTCTATACATTAAGTTAATACTATACTTTTTCATATTGAACGTTACAGATTTAAAAAATTTATTAACTGTAATTTTCTAGTTAAACTTTTTTTTATCTGTTTATTATGTTTATATCATAACTTAATATTATTAATTCTGCATATATATATATTATTAATTATGCTGGAGAAGGATGGAGAAAATTAGCTGGAGGGATCGAATTAGCAATGAGGAGGTCCTGCTTAGGGTTAAGGAAAAACGACAAATTATTAAAACTATTGAGGACAGAAGGGAAAAAATGTTAGGACACTTGATACGACACGACGAACTTATGAACATTATAATAGAAGGTAAGATAGAAGGAAGAAGGGGGAGAGGGAGACCGAGACATAGTTACATCAGGCAGTTCAAGGAAGGAGTTGGTGTCGTGTCGTATCAAGAGGTGAAGAGACTCGCTGAAAATCGTAGTGAGTGGCAAGAGCTCCACCGACAAGAGCGCAGCTCTTAAATGAATAGATAGATAGATACAAATATATAGTATTAGTTCTTGTCTGTTGGAAGGAACTGGCTCACAAGGCACAGGTTACCTTAATTTGTAAGTCGGGGCAAAAAAATATGTAACAGTGCAACCCTGTATTTGTTAATAAAAGTTTATTATTATTGTTATTATATATTTATATAAATCTGCAATTTATAAATATCTACGAGTATATCTTAATATTATTACATTTTTAATGATTTTTTATTTTAATTAAAACATGCAGTATTTATTTGTTATTTTTTTAAATTACAAGTCATTTACACTTCCCTTTGTTGACCACCTGCAACATTTTTGAGATCATCACTCTATGTCGCGGGGATCGCCCTACACTACACTTCACTGCATTCTACAGTTACTATCCTTAATCTATAAATTATATGTTATATATTTAGATTATATGGATAGAATGTCTCCATATAAATACTTACTATCACCAGAGGGAGACTTTGTACAAAAATCGATTGCTTAGGTTCCTCTGTCCCATTCGTGTTTCAACCGTGAAGCAGTTGTGTTTGCATGGCTGTGTTTCGGTTTGAAGGGTGGGATATGGCGTGAATTTACTGGGTACAGAGGAATAACACCTGAGTCCTCTGGAATGGCAACGCATGGGGGGTATCATGGGCGAAACAGTATACTCTGTTATGTCCATGGTACTGCTCATGTCTATAGGCGACGGTTACCACTTTCCATCAGGTGGGCCGTCAGCTTGTTTGCCATTCTAAGTTGTATAAAGAAAACAAAAAGAGATGATCAGAATAGAACTTTAGCTTATATAGGGATATGCAGTAATGAGAATTTATTTTATATATTTTGTTAATTTTATCTCTTGTTATAATTATTTTGATTTGTTTATTGATTAACAGAACGGCTTACCGTCAATGCAAACTGATGCAAACACAGTGAAAATATTTCCAAAGAAAACGTCAATTCGAAAACAATACAACACACATATCATCTCAGATTTAATATCGTTCCCATAGGAAATATAAATACGGTATTGAAATATCGTATAATGTGTATCGAAATCCCCTTTTGTGGGTTATGTATAGCAGTCCAGTTAAACTTGATCCCCCGCGCTGTTCTCTCGACAATGCTATTAAGGTGTCATGGGTGATATTGGGGGGATCTTCAGGGGTATAAAAAAGTTGGCCAAGTCGTAAACGTTCGATAGGTTGAAGCTACTTATGACTATGAATATTTATAACGTATTAGCCGAACGTCTCGTGTAGCGTAGCGCCACCGTAGATGTTAAGGCGAATATTCCTGCAGGAATACGATTACGTAAATACGCTGTAAATAACGGTAAGTTTAAATATCACTTTCGTAAATGTATTTATTTTTATTATAAATTTAAAATTATAGATAAAAGCGTATTTTTATTATATTTAACATAGATATGGTTTTTTTTTATTGGATGAAAATGGAATGGTAACCCCGCCAGCGCTAACGGGATGCGCTGGCGGGGCACCAGTGAAGGGTGATCGATGAGAATGAAAACAGGCCAATTAGCCCATCATGATGAATTCATCTGGCATTAATCATGATAGTTTCCAGGGGGAACCACGAGGAGGTCGACCTGGTTGGGATATTGCTAGCAATGGCATTCTTAGACTCCATTACTAACAATCCCTTTCCCCCCACATAGAAATGGTTAAAACTAAGTTAACATAGGTATAAAAAATATGCAACCAGACCGTGTCTATCTGTATAATCACGTTTGTATATATAGATTATATGAATATACTAGTCGAATTTCAATATAGTACTCAGTATAAAAAATAAAATTAATACTTACTTAGGTAAAGTACGTCATTTTTTCACATTACAAGACTATTAAATACGTAGGGAGTTAATGCTTATAGTAACTAGCTGTATGCCATAGCGTATAAACGCGCGATAAACGAAATTTGGTATGTGGGTATATACCAAATTTCGTTTAAATTCATTCAGTAATTTTTGAATAAAAAAGTAACATATATCCATCCACCAATATATATATTATATATATATATATATATATATATATATATATATATATATATATATATATATATATATATATATATATATATATATTTTTAGGAGATTTCTAATATTTTTATGATTATATGTTAGCTTCGCCATTTTTAAACCAACTTTGATAATTATTTTTATAATCTAGTAACATTTACTCCTGTTTTCGTCACATTCATTTTATGACAATTAAAGCCGCCATTCTTTTTCGACTTTGATTTACGAAGTAAAAGTTTATTTGTAAACACCTTTCACTACGATCTAAATTCAAATATTTATAGTCTGGTAATAAAATTTCTTTTAGTTTCCAGATTACTTTAAAAATATTTGAATTTAGAACATATAATATATATAGTCATGTTTAAAGCTGTTTCTTTTTGCAAGAAGTACATGTATTAATAAATTTCTTCAAAAGATGTTGGCCTTAAATGCAAATTATAAATGTTTATATAAAGAGTTCAATTTATATTCTAATACGATGGCTTCCCGCTAGAGTCTAAGCTAAGCGTCGCAGTGACGGCTCTTTAAAACTAAATAAAGCGGTTAAGACTAAACTCCAGGTTTAGCATGAATACCACATATTGTTAAACTTACTTTAGTATAGGTTATAATAACCATTCGCTTAATTATTAAATCCGATTTAAAAAAATGGGTTTTATAAATTTTAAGCTTTTAGGCTTTGTACTTGTTTGTGTGCGTGGTATCAGTGACTGCAGTATGTTGCAAAATGTGTTTTTTTTTATTCATAAAGATAGAAGATAGATCACCATTTATTTTATCATCATCATCATACCAACTGTTAACTGATCACCGCTAAACATAAGCCCCCAAGTCCCCCTTGGTTTTATCAGTAGTCACTATACTTGATGATGTTTTGAAAGGGACACTTCTAATCATATCCATGGGAAAGCGAGACGTGGCTCGTTCTATGCCGGGACCATACGGCAAACCAATTGTTTTATATTATTTTAATAAAAAAAAAATCTATTTTGATGCCCACAGCCACTTTCTACCATCGTACGGCTCGCCATCGACAGGGAGTTCATCCTCATGTCCTACAACCTCAATGGTCGCGTACTGTGTGGTTTCAGAGATGTTTCCTCCCACGAACACTCAGGTTGCGGAAAGGGCTCCCTACCTAGGTTTTACCAAGAGACTACTGCATGGGGTTCTTCGAAAGGGGGATAAAGAGGTTTCTTCAGGGTCTGCAACGCACGCGTGATACCTCCGGTATTGCAGATGTTAATAGGCTGCGGTAACCACTTACCATCAGGTGGGCCGTATGCTTGTTTGCCATCTCAGTGGTATAAAAAATAATAATAATGTAAGACATAAATAAATATATTATACGTGATTTAATCAATATGGGTTGAAGAAAATTAACCATCACTTTTATAATTAATCAGAGGGAAAAGAATAAAAAAGAGTAATTGTAATTAATATAATGCCATATTTTGTAGCGATTAAATTACAACGCGATTTCTTTACAAAGTAAAATTTTTACAATATTAGCAAATAAATTGACAACTAATGTAATTTACAATCTAAAACTCAGTCATTGTCTGCATTCGTTTATATTATCTTAAAATAACAAATGTATCATAAAAATAATAATTAAAACACCAGTTAAAATAATAGTAATAATAATAACATTATATTAAAATTTAGTAACTAATTCAGTTTACTTTCAAACATTTTTGATTTCTCGAGCACATCAAGATATGTATCCCATTAATTTCAATAATCTACTGTCCAATGTTTTTATACTATTATCACTTAATGACCTGCGTACAATTTTATGTTCCTCTTCACTTTTAACTGGTTGTTCGTTCAATTGATTGTTTTCATTATGGGCACTCTCTTCGAATTTTATATCTTCAACTTTATTAGATTTGTCAGGTGGATTATTCTCAGGCGTTGCTTTATTAGATTGTTGACCTTCAGGCTTGTCATCCTCAGGTTTGTCCCCCTCAGGTGTCTCCTCATTATTCTCTTCGCCGTTGTTATCGTTACTGTTCAGTTGTTCTTTTAGATTTTCTATTTCTCTATATGCTCTATTTCTTTGACCGATCATTGCTAACATAGACACGAATAGACAAAAATTTAACACCGCAAGAAATACAATTCTTTTATTATTCAACATCCAACCTATAGTCGCTTCAGTGTAATATCGACAACTCATTGTGATTTTTTTTTTTATTTCACTTTATTTAATTCGCGTCCGTATAACTACAGATTAATATCAAAACTGTAACAACTTTAGGGGCTATAACTCCATCATTATCGGCAAAGAGTTTATCAATAGATAAATATAGTTCATATATCGTGTCGTTCAAAAGATATTGAGCTTTGTGCTCGACACATTAAGTTTATTTTTCATTAATATGGATTATGATATTTATAAAATACCACAATAGGATTAGATATCGATATGACTAATACAACTAATCTTGAACATACATTTCATGTGATAAAATATTGTTTGCGTTGAACAATATTTTGCAATTTTCTAATTTAGTCGTAGTCAAAAACATAATTATTGTCACACGCCACATACCACAATAAAACATAATATTATTGGATATAACATAATTATATCCATATTATTTTCAAACTCTATATTGCGGACATAGTACACCAGTACTATTTAACAGTCAGAGTGAAATCAAAGGAGCAGATAATGAAATACGTTTTTAGTTTAGCTTTTTTTATCCTATTTATTTATCCTGCTCTCATATAGACATGTGTGTGTCAATTAAAACATTTTAATCGTAATATTTTAATATTCTGTCCGTGATATCGTTATTAACGTTGACGATAATGTCACGCCATTGGCTTAATGTACATATAAATTATTTTATTAATCACTAAAATAGAAATTATTATTATATTACTGGCCTCTGTACTATGAAAGCATAAGCAGAGGATAGAAATTTGTTAGCAATCAAAACACTAGTTGCTCTATTTTTTTTTATTTTTTAATGGATGATAATGGAATGGTAGCCCCACCCGCACTATCGGTATACACCGGCGGGGCACCAGCGTAGGATGATAGGTGAGAATAAAGTAGGTCAATTAGCTCATCGTAACGAATTCAACAAAAATTGTTCATCAGAGGGAGACCTCTATTTTCGTTTTTTTTTTTTTAATGGATGATAATGGAATGGTAACCCCGCCTGCGCTAACGGTATACGCTGGCGGGGCACCAGTGAGGGATGATAGGTGAGGATGAAAAAGTAAGTCAGTTAGTTCATCGTGATGAATATATCTGGAATTAAGCACGGTAGTTTCCAGGGGGAACCATGTGGCGGTCGACCTAATAAGGCATATTGCTAGCAATGGGCCCGTCAAACCCCATTGCTAACAATCCTTTCCCCCGGTAGCTGCTCTATTGTTAACAATATATCAGTCAGGTTGACCTCATGTGGCTCTGGAAACAATTGCCGTTAATTTGTAGCTATTCCATAACGACTCTAACTCTCGCTAACTCTGACCTGATATCATCGTTATTTACCATCACTCACTAATATCATTCTAGTGTACTGATAACGGAAGCGAGGTTACCATTCTATTTTCATCCATAAAAATCTCCCCTTGCTTCTCCAGCGCTCATATTGACTGAAAATGACGTTAACAGTATGATTGATAATATAAATAGTGATAACAGTTTCATATGAAATCTATTGAACTAGATAATAAACTTTCAATCTGAAGTACATATTTTTAATTTATGTATTGGCTAATACGTACAAAATACATTAAAAAGAATGAAACTACCAACGAGCGTTAACTACTGTCAATTTGTAATTTTTTTTTATACAATTTAGAATTGCAAACAAGCTAACAGCTCACCTAATGGAAAGTGGTAACCGTCGCCTATAGACATGAGCAGTACCATGGACTTAACAGAGTATACTGTTACGCCCATGATACCCCCCATGCGTTGCCATTCCTGAGGACTCAGATGTTATTCCTTTGTACCCTGTAAATCTCTGAAGACGGACCCTCATCTAACCCAGACCTCAACCCTTTAGACTTCAAATTATGGCCAGTTTTAGAGGACATGACCTGCTCCAAACAACAAGAGTTTCTTAAAAAATCTTTGGAGCAAGCAGTGTCGAAATTTCCTTCGGAAACAGTGCATACATCCATTCGTGGCCAAACAGATTAAAGGCCAGTATAAAAGTCAAATGTGACCATTTTGATTAAAATATTTATTTTTTATTTTTTAAGACTTTAATAAATATGTAGGTATAAATTTTAGTTATAATACAAAAGTCCATTTTAAAAAAAATGCATTTTCATTTGTGACAGAACTTATGACTGGACTATGTATACATGTACCAATTTGGTGTCAACGGATGTGTTTCAACATGTCTTTGAAAGTTTATTTTCTTCACTCGCATCTCAATTTATTTCCTAAAACCTCGGACACGTCAACGACGAACATGGAGAGTGTTTCCACTAGGACTTTGAAACTTTTGAGCGAAAAGGATACTAGGGCCAGGTCATGTTAGGTGGTAGGTAGATCATGTACTAGTCTATCATAAGAGATACCGATACAAATAAATATAAGAAAAACCTAAGGTAATACATTTCTAATTTTTAAATATCTTTGTACACATTTCTTTTTTTGTAAGTTAAAAACAATAAATATTTTGTAATTATGACGTGTTAGATTTTTTTCATAATTATTTTCAAACTTAGTTCACCTTACTTTTTAAGAAAAAACACTTTTTATTTGAAGGACAAAAATCATGTAAACTAATTAAATTAAGGTTTACCTAAACTATCTATACAAGTTTCATAATTGAAATGATATTGCTCGCGTGAATAAATAAAAATGCAATGGACCCTCAATTTATATATTGCATTAACTTAAGTAATTTATTACGAAATGTATTATTTTTAATATTATTATGTAATGACTCTGGCACAATTGATGTTTTCACTTCACTAAATTCATTTATCTTATTATTAATAACGTTTGTTGGTTCCCCTTCTTTAAGTGTAGTAGAAGTTGAGTCAACATTTGTATCTGTAGTTGATTCCACATTTGTATCTGTAGTTGATTCCACATTTGTATCTGTAGTTGATTCCACATTTGTATCTGTAGTTGATTCACTATTAGCATCAGTGGTTGATTCTTCGGTGGGGGTGCTTGTAACTTCTTTATTATTGAGTTGTTCCTTTAAATCTTCTAATTCGCGATACGCTCTGTTTCTTTGTCCGACCATTGCTAACAACGACACAAATAAACAAAATGCCAGCACTCCAAGGAACACAATCATTTTATTGTTCAACATCCACCCAAGTGTCATCTCAGTATAATATCTACAATTCATTTTGCTATTTTTTTTTTTCTGCCTACTTTTTCTTTATTAACGTCTGTATAACATTAGATAAGTAACAAAACTGAACTATATTTAAGCTTTCCAATATTATTCCATTGATATCTTTATCGATAGGCGAACACAATTTGTGTAATATATTTTCAAAAGATATTAAACTTTATTCTTATACGATATAAGGATTGTTGTTCAATGATGCACATATTCATTTACATAATAACACAATAAGATTAGATAGTGATACGATTCATTTATATTAACCAATTTGAATTTCTATATTCATACAAGTATATGTGATGAAATATATATAATATCTAATATAATAATATATTTTGATCTGTACTTCATGATAATGTATTTCAATTGAATTGTTTATATGTCATTGTTTATTTTTATGTTTTTGGTGCAATAAAAAATTTAATAAATAAATAATAATTCTAATTAATATATATATATATAATATTTATTTATATTGATTAGAATTATTTTATATAATACTAGCTGCTACCGGCGACTTTGTATGTATGATGTTGCTTTCCACATTTTAATTGAGATGTTCTTAGTAGATGTTCATATTATAAAATAAACTTATATTCCAATTTCAGTTGCATGACTTAGTTTGTTTTGGTTACATACTGATCATCAATCATAACTAACAATTTTATATATATACGTACAAGCCATTTCAAAATCAATAAAAAAATACTCGCAAAACCTTAATCGAAGACATCGTCATAGTTCTATGATCATATCTATATTAATACAGAAATTTGTTCACTCGCATTTAAGGTTAACGACATCATTCGAATAATAAATTGAACGAATTTATACTGAACCCTGCGAACCTCCACCTTATGGCTTCAAATGAAGTAATTTCTAAGAATAATCTTAGAAAGAGCTTTGCATGGACAGATACGGCGGTGAGATATTACATATGATGATACGTATGATGATGACGATCACCGTTTTCATCACTGTCGTTGTCGTCACAAGAACTCATTAATATCCTACAGCTACGCGGTTCTCTTCTCCTAAGACGACAACAAAAGTCGATTGCTTGGGTACCTCTGTCCCATTCGTGTTTCTACCGTGAAGCAGTTGTGTTTGCATGGCTGTGTTTCGGTTTGAAGCGTGGGATATAGCGTGAATTTACAGTTTTTACAGGGTACAGAGGAATAACATCTGAGTCCTCAGGAATGGCAACGCATGGGGGGTATCATGGGCGAAACAGTATACTCTGTTATGTCCATGGTACTGCTCATGTCTATAGGCAACGGTTACCACTTTCCATCAGGTGGGCCGTCAGCTTGTTTGGCATTCTAAGTTGTATAAAAAAATCTATTTATCCTATTTAAGAGTTGCGCTCTTGTCAGTGGAGCTCTTGCCACTCATTACGATCTTTTGCAAGTCTCTTCACCTCTTTATACGACATGACACCATCTTTTTCCTTGATCTGCCTGATGCCTTGGTCTCCCTCTTCCCTTCCTTCCTTCTAACTTACCTTCTATTATAATGTTCATAAGTTCGTCGTGTCGTATCAACTGTCCTAACATTTTTTCCCTTAAGATGAGGATATAGTCTAGTATTAGCAAGCTGATAGGCGGCCTAGTATAGTTACTAGTGTAGTACAAGTATAATATAGGGTTTCTAAATAACTTCAAAAAGTTAAAATACTTTATGTGTAAGTAACGCAATATTTTTGCCAATTTTAATTAAACTTTGATAATGCTTTGTATAAGTTCAATTTTTTTTATGCCACTTAGAATGGCAAATTAGCTGACGGCCCACCTGATGGAAAATGGTAACTGTCGCTTATAGACATGAGCAGTGCCATGAACATAATAGAGTACGAGTATATGGGTTCGCTCATGATACACCTCTTGCGTTGCCATTCCTGAGGACTCAGGTGTTATTCCTCTGTACTCTGTAAATTTACTGGCATATTCCACCCTTCAAACCGAAACACAGCCATTCAAATATAACTGTTTCACGATAGAAACACGAATGGATGAATTCTGACATAATTTAAACTGTTACTTTTTTGCATAGTAATACTCTAAATGTAATAACAGAAATTTCAAGAATTTAAAAATCTACAAAATAGTTTTGCAAATAAAAAATATACTTAAATTTCTTTTTTAGAGTATTATCGTGAAATATTTTTGAAAATAAAAATTGACATGTTATTATTATATCATTAAATCAGATATATATTGGCCATATTTGTAATTTGTTTGGCAAATTGTTGCTGATGCAAAATATAAAACGTCCATTTTTTTTTTATACAACTTAGCATGACATGAGTAGTACCATGGACACAACAGAGTATACTGTTTTGCCCATGATACCCCCCATGCGTTGCCATTCCTGAGGACTCAGGAACAAAGCCATGCAAACACAACTGCTTCACGGTTGAAACACGAATGAGACAGAGGTACCCAAGCAATCGACTTTTGTACAAAGTCTCCCTCTGGTATCCATTCAATTCAATGAACTTTTTCACTATAAAATTTATTGTCCAATTCTAAAAGTACGAGTAGATCTATAGCACGTTGGCGCGTCTTTCCTCTTACAGTGGGTTCATTTCTTATAGAGGTCAGACAGTGTCATTTATCTATGGACTATCTAGCAGATCTCGACTAGTTTCGGAACCATTCGGAGCCCTTAATCGTGAGCGGCTGTGATACAAGCGTGAGCCTGACTAAACACCTAGACCCTTTGAACGAGACTGGTAGACGTTCGTTGTACCGTCACAGATAAAAAAAAACCAGCCAACTGCAAGTCGAACTCGCTCAACGAAGGTTCCGTACAAAATTAAGTTTTTTTTTTTTTGTGAAATTACTACAAATTTACGATTTTCAGATTTTTTCTTTTACTTATGATACACGACATTGCTTCATGCCAAATTTTATGACTCTATGTCAACGGAAAGTACTCTATAGGTTTTGATTCCCTTTGCGAATGTCAAAATATACGATATAAATGGAAAATAAACGGCCGTATATTTTAATTGCATCTATTTGGAGGCTCGATTTTTTCATTTCTTTAAGAGATTGCAGACTTAAGTATAGGATATTAATTAAACGCGATACCTCCACGTGTTCCTGAGAAAAAGGGTCTTGACAGACGGACGGACGGACGGGCAACGAATGAAATGATCCTATAAGAGTTCCGTTTTTCCTTTGGAGGTACGAAACCTTAAAAATGGCGCTTGAAAAATCTTTGCGTATGAACGGTTAGACTACGTAGTCTTCATCTTCGCCTGCCGTGTAGTTGTCACTGACTTTGTTGGTAAACCGTCGTGTACTGTACTCGTATGTACACAATAGATTACCAATATAACTTTTTAACTATTCAATATACGATAGCTAATTAACATAGGAATATTCCACTTTCTTCCACGCACAACCATTCTTTGGAATCAACTTCCAGCAGCAGTATTTCCGAACCGATACGACAACATAACTTTCAAGAGTATATTCCTTTTTAAAAGGCCGGCAGCACACCTGCAATGCCGCTGGTGTTGTGGGTGATCATGGGCGGCGGTAGTCACTTACTATCAGGTGAGCCGCACGCTCGTTTGTCCCCTGTGTTGTAAAAAAAAATATATATATAATACAAACAAACAGTAAAACAACTTTTTTTACGTACTTGGAATAGTTGACAAGCTGAAGCATGATTGAATAATGAAATAGAAAATAGCAACCTTCGCCTATACTATTGGTAAAGGTTGCCATTTGCTATGTAGGCCCTATAGACATAAATAGTACCACAAATCAAACAAACAAGTTACAAAATACACTACCAACTTAATAAATTAAATAGACACACTCGCACAGACAGACAGAATTTTACCACTTTCCATCAGACCCACCTGATTGAAAGTGGTAACCGTCACCTATAGACATGAGCAGTACCATGGACATAACATAGTATACTGTTTCGCCCATGATACCCCCCATTCGTTGCCATTCCTGAGGACTCAGATGTTATTCCTCTGTACCCTGTAAATTCACGCCATATCCCGCCCTTCAAACCGAAACACAGCCATGCAAACACAACTGCTTCACGGTTGAAACACGAATGGAACAGAGGTACCCAAGCAATCGACTTTTGTACAAAGCCTCCCTCTGGTCGACCTTATAGACATAAACATCACCACAAATTACACAAACAAGTTACAAAATACACTACCAACTTAATGAATTTAGTAGACACATTCGCACAAACAGATAGAATTTTTGAAAATAATATATAATCTATGTTACTCGCTGATAGTGTACTTTTGTATAGGTGAAAGAATTTTGAAAATCGGTTGAATAGTTTTTGAGTTTATCCGTTACAAAGGAACAAATAAATCTTTCCTCCTTATAATTAAGTATAGGATATTGAAATCTTTAAGAAAATAGCATATTTCTTCTTAATAGGCCAGTAACAGACCTGAAATTTCTTTGTTGCTATAGGCAGCGGTAATCACTTACCATCAAGTGAGCCGCACGCTTGTTTACCCACAATGTTATAAAAAAAGTATAGATAGATTAAAAATTGAAAGAAAAAAATATATAATTAGTGCTCAATTTTACATTTAATTACAAAAATATTTGACAACTAGCTGTTTCCCGCGGCGCTGCTCGCGTGAATCGGTATATAAAATATGCTATGAGTTAAAATATGATATATAACCTACCTTTATAAAGTTTAAACCAATTAAATTCAATAATTGAAATAAAATAAAAAATAAAAAAAATCGGTTATTTTATAGCATTTTATATGTGATTCTTTAGATTGTTATAACTTTTTTATTTATGAATTATCTGAAATAAAACAAACACTAAATGTTAAGTGGAGCAAGCCGCAACGCATCAGTGAATATCGTATTCAAATTGGTGAAGCCGTTTCTGAGATAAGTGCGCACAAACGTACAGACAAATAGGCATTCAGACAAACAGACAAAAAATCTCCTATAATAGTTTCTCTTATATATCTTCCATGTACAGACAATGACCAGTTACGATTTTATTATATGTATTGATTGATTGATAAACAAAAGGGAGCCAATAAACACT